TGTTCCCTCTAAGCTGAGTTAGTGTGAGCCAGCTCACAGTTTTTTAGCGTCCGGCTCACACATTTTTGTCTTAGCTCAGGAAGGAGGGCTCCAGAGCCAACTCATTTGTGCAGCAGCCAAATCACTCGCTCACAACTTTAATGCCAGGAGCTCACAAAGTAGAATTTTGGCTCACAAGACTCCACAGCTTAGAGGGAACATTGGTGAGAACCACTGTGATTTTTTTGCGGCTAGATATTTTCTCACCTGAGTATTGACTTCCATTGTTTTTCTTTGAGACTTGATGAGGTAAAATATTCTTAAGTAGAAAATGAGAAACTACAACTAGTTACACGAGAGAAAGTTGAGAAGTTTTACTTTACTGTCTGTTTATGCAGATTCAAGAGACGCATTTCTTCTTCTGTACTAGGAGAATGTGTGGGTGACGTTGTATTTTGTAGCCCGAGGAAGAGCATTGCTACTGTATATCTTAGGCCGCATAGCTACTCTGCTGGGGTGCTTTTTTATTGAGAATAGCTTCACAGCACATACAAGTTTATTTAGAACTTGTTCAGGGGTCTTAAACAGTTTAACATCTCAGTGCCTGGGTACAGGTAATTCTGTTAGTCTCAGCTTGACATAACGCAAGGGAACTGTGCCTGGATATCTCAACATTTTAAATTCCATTTAGAAACAACCGAGGGAGATTTGGATTAGGGCTGGAGCGTAGGGGGGAGTCAGTCTCTCCCATTCACGTCTCCACCCTCTCCAAGATTGGGGGGGGCAGGCAACCTGTTGAGCAACATGATCTTCCTCTATATTTTAACAGTACGGTTCTGTTGCTGTAGGGAGTCTGTTCATAATGTCTGTCTCTCTTTAAAAAAACAGAAATCTGCAGATAAATATGCTTTTTATGATGTTACATAGCAGTCTGACAGATGCTCAGTTTTGGATAACATTTCTTTTTAACCTAGATCCATAAACAGTCCGTGTGCCCGTTTGGATTGAAATAACTGAGAAGACAATCTCATAATTTCTTTTGGGAACACTGTAAGTGTCATAGCTAACAGGTATTTCATTTTGATATTTTAAATCGGCATTTAACTGAATTGTTCTAAGATACGAAATATGCCTTTGTTACAAACACTGCATACTAGTGAATCACATCCATGGGTTGGATCCTCTGAATCTGTTCTATTAATGGTAGCACTTCCTTGCAACAGGCTTCTTGCAACAGAGGAAAGCTCCTTGCACCAGGGGAATATGCTGCCATTGGCAGAACTGGTCCATGGACCCAACTGTCTTTCTGAAAAATGTGCATATTGCTGTAAAATACTAATTGGAAGCATATCAGAGACACCTACTGTTTTAAAGTCATGGCTTTAATGTAAATGATGTTACGTATCATTCCTAGTCTAGCCCTGAAGCGCTGCTGCCTGAAACTTCAGGTGGAATAACGTGTGAAAGAGCAGAGAATTTAGTGTATGTAGAATTGCTGGTTTACCACTGCTTAATGGGCTGTAGTAGCGCACACTCAGTGATCTGCTATGATTAATACTTGGGCTTATTAAATTCTGCTTTTTTTAAACAGGCAGAAAACACTAAAGCCAGTTTGGTGTAGTGGTTAAGTGCGTGGACTCTAATCTGGGAGAACCGGGTTTGATTCCCCACTCCTCCACTTGCAGCTGCTGGATGACCTTGGGCAAGCCATAGTTCTGAAAAGAGCTGTTCTTGAAAGGGCAGTTCTCAAAAGAGCTCTCTCAGCCCCACCTGCCTCACAGGGTGTCTGTTGTGGGGAGGGGAAGGGAAAGGCCTTTGTAAGCCGCTCCGAGACTCCTTTGGGTAGTGAAGGGCGGGGGATAAATCCAATCTCTTCTCTTCTTCTTCTTCTAAAGTGGATACGTTATTGTGAGATCAAATCCTAAAAGCCAGTGTGGTATAGTGGTTAAGTGTATCGGACTAGCCCTGACCTGAATAGCCCAGGCAAGCCTGATCTCATCAGATCTCGGAAGTGAAGCAGGGCTGACCCTGGCAAGTACTTGGATGGGAGACCTCCAAAGAATACCAGGGCTGGAAGGCAGAGGCCGGCTATCAAGGCACTTCTCTGAATGTCCTTCATGCCCCAGTAGGAGTCACCAGAGGTTGCCATGACTTCCAGGCACAGGCGCGCGCACACGCACACACACACACACACACACACACACATGTAAAAATACAAAAAAAAAAGGGGTCAGACTAGTATCTAGGAGACTCAGGCTCAAATCTCCACTGGTGCCATGGAAGCTCGCTGGGTGACCTTGGGCCAGTCATGTTTTCTCACCCTAACCTGCCTCACAGGGTTGTTGTGAAGATAAAATGGAGGAGAGGAGAAGGCTGAAAGCTACTTTGGGTCCCCACTGGGGAGAAAGGCGGGGTGCAAATCAATAAAACAGATAGAAACATATCCGCAGGGCAGGTGTTAGTTTTACATGTCCACTTTTCTGATGCCAGGAATTTGGTTTCACCAGTACAGAGGCCACGAAAGCCTTTTACCGTAGTTCGTATCAATTAGGAAAGTAGCACTGCCCAGACACACAGTTCTGTGGGGTTTTTTTTTTTTAGTATTGAGCCTTTGGAGATGGGGAAGGAAAGTAAAATGTGCCATCCTTTCCATTTTAGTTGTCAGGAAGGTTGAGTCATTTGGGGTTAGCCCGGCCTTAAATTCGCAGAGGGTGCAGTTCTGCTGCCAGCCTTAATACGGAATGGCCATTTACACTTAGGCAGTCTATGTTAATTTCAGGGATTTCATTCCTTCTGAATAGAAATGGCAGAAGGAGAAGAGAAGAGATTGGATTTATATCCCGCCCTTCACTTGGAGTCTCCGAGCGGCTTACAAACTCCTTTCCCTTCCCCTCCCCACAACAGACACCCTGTGAGGTGGGTGGGGCTGAGAGAACTCTGACACAAACTGCTCTTTCAGGAACAGCTGTGCCAAAGCTTGTGACTGACCCAAGGTCACATCAGCAGGTGCAAGTGGAGGAGTGGGGAATCAAACCCGGTTCTCCCAGATTACAGTCCGCACACTTAACTCTTTGGTGAGCTGTCTTATCAGTCTGCTCCTGCCAGTGTCAAGCACCTTACTGCACTTTACAGGTGAGCCTGTGCAGATGAATCTGAAGAGGGGAGCTTCTCCCCCCCCCTCCCCGACTTCCACAAAAGCTACTTTAGGAAGGGATGGTTTGAACAGGTGAAATCGTACAGAGGAAGGAGCACCTAATCTTTCTCCCTCTGTTCCTTGTCTGCTGCGGCTGGCCTCAACAAACCACCCTCTGCCACCTGTGCTGTTTCAAATGTGTAATTGTATTTTGGGGGTGCAGGATCGGGGGGGGGGGTAGAAAGAGCTGCCGTGGGCAGGATGAAGCACCGAAACAACAGGCATGGAAGGAGTTGGGCTCTCCATCACTGCTTCCTTGGTCTTAACCCCCCCCCCCTTTCTGAAGCCACTTTCCCTGATGACAGTGATGTCTTTGGGCTTCAATTGAACACGTCAGCATACAAAGCGTGTGGGGTCCTGTGCTCTTGTTACGTTGCATGCCTCTGAGCTTTTGCAAATTCTGAGAAATCTCCCTCCGGGTCTGCTTTTCTGTTACGTAATATTTCATCAGTGTCCTTCTTTAACCGTAGTATTAACACTTCTGCGTCCGGTGTGCCTCTGCTGGAGTGCTGAATTAACTGGGATAAAAATATCAAAACAGCAGTTACAGAAGAGATTCATGCCACTTACTTTAAAAAGCTGGGGCTTGGATGCCCAGCCTTTTGCCCATAGCCGTTCTAGGGGATTCGTCACAAGCAAGGCCTCTGAGCTATTAACAGGTAATCTCTAACAAAAGGGGTCCATAGAAACTGGGGTCGAGAAAGAGATGCATCTTGAAGTGATTCTCCTTCCTAACTGAATGTGTGTTGGGCCCCGACCCACCAGGCAGTGTTGCTGTGCAGCTTCCGTCGGTCTCCCTGGGTCTTGTGGGAGAATCATGTGCCAGCTCCACTGAAACAAGAATTGAATGGTTTACTGCACTGTTTGATACCAGTGTTCTGCATCCCCAGAAAATCCTGTTGAAACCTAGAGCCCATGGCCATTGAGTCATCATGACATGGTTAGTCATGTTCAGGACCCATTCCAGAATGCTTCGCCAGAGGCTTTTTAAAACCACAACCTTATTACCAAACAGGAGAAATTCCCTCCATATAAGATACATGGAGTATGTATTTGGAATGGTTTTCTAAAAGGTCACACATCTCTGTTTTGTTCTTGGGTAAGCTGAAGGTCATGGGCTGGCTCCAAAGCCCCCTTCCTCTCTTTGGAAGACTTCTCCAGTGGCAGAGTTAACGGGAGGCATGTCATGGGATCCCATCTCCATGTTTCCATCAACAGTAGGAGCATTTTGCAATAAATGTTTCAACAGTGCAATATTTGGCCCTGCCAAGAAATTGGAAAAGTAAGCATCTCCTGTAAACAGAGACTGAAAGTTATAAACAGCTGCCCTGATAAATCTTTCCCCCCTACCACAAATATTTAAGGAAAAGGCTGTGGACATTTGACCACAATGATGCAATGCCGAGATTGCTAAACTAGATTAAAAGTATAACGTTTTAGGGGCAGAGTACTTCTCAAAGGGTTTAAAATATTTGAATTGGGACAGAGAGACTTGAATCTTGAAGTAAATATTTGTTTTGTCTTGGCCTTTAAAAATGGTTGCTTGTATACATAATGCATTAGACCAGTTCCTTCAGCCTCCAGTGCAGCTGCATTTTGAAATGAAAGCAATGAAAGATTTAATCTAATGAATTGTTACTAATTTTTCCCCTGCTTGTTGATTACTCGTGATCTTCAGCAACCGATTAATCTATTGCTGTCGATGGCTTCCAAATGTTTCTAACATTCCAGTGATTACGCTAAAGTTGAGCCACCTAAACCTTCGTTCTGCTTTTTTTGTGCTGCTGCTGCTGCTTCCATTCTTGCCTTCCGAAAATTAAGACACTTGGAATCCTCAAGAGACAGGAGTCAAATAACAGACTTGAAAAGGAAAAGGAAAACTATCCATTATGAACCTTAAGCTAGAGCTCCACGCCATTATCTTGCTCCCTGTGTACTTATTGATATCTCTGTACAGTGCCCTTGTATTCATACCATGGTATTTTCTTACCAATGCTAAGAAGAAAAAAGCTATGGCAAAGCGCTTAAAAGCTAAGCCCGTCTCGGAAAACCCTGGAAGCCCATACCGAGCCATTTCCCATCTTGAGACACTAGCCACTATAGACTTTCCTGGAGCAGACACTTTGGACAAATTGTTTGACCATGCTGTTGCGAAGTTTGGGAAAAAGGATTGTCTTGGAACAAGAGAGCTCCTGAGTGAAGAGAATGAAATGCAGCCCAATGGGAAAGTATTTAAAAAGGTAATAATTTATGAATTTTTAAATACAATCATTAAGACTTTTGGGAGAGACGATAATACCTCTTGGGCATCTGACTTCCAGAGAACTAGGGGCACTAATAAAAGGGCTACTGAAATATATGTACAAGTAATAATTCATTTGTGACGTTTTGAAAGTTTTCACAGTGGCAGAAGTTACATGTGAACTTTAGATGCATTGTCTGTGGTTGCTACTTTGTCGTATAAACACGTTAAAGTTTTAGTCAGACATGGCATCGGGTATTTGAAATATGACACTCTTGAATGTTAGTTGTCTTTCTGTAGCACTGTGTGTCATCATGTACATTAGGAATGGGCCTTAGTAAAATGGATGAGACCTAAAATATTTTCAAGGATGTCCTTTTGTTGGAACAAGATTTGTCGATAAGAGAGGGAGAAGAAGCATTTGAGACGCAGAGATTCCTCATTGGTCAGGGGTTTTTTTAAAATATTTTCAAGGATGTCCTTTTGTTGAACAAGCTTTGTCGATAGGAGAGGAAGCATTTGAGATGCAGAGATTCCTCATTGGTCAGGGGTTTCTTTTGTAGTGAAGACATACTTGACTTGTTATAAAGTATCCGAATGAATTTCTTTTGGACCAGCACTGTGACTGTTTAGATTTCAGACATAGTTGATGATCTGTACTGATCAAGTTCAATGCTTACCAAAACGAGTGTTTAATCTCTGACCAGCTGATCCTGGGAAACTATAGATGGCTAAGCTATGAAGAAGTGAACCAGAAAGTAGACTACTTTGGGAGCGGATTAGCTGCAATAGGACTGAAACCAAAGAGCACAGTTGCCATATTCTGTGAAACCCGGGCAGAATGGATCATTGCAGCCCAGACCTGTTTCCGATACAACTTTCCTCGTGAGTATCGCATTCGAAAAGTAAGGGGGCTTTTGAGCAAAATAGCACTGTGATCCAACAGGTTTACCGATGTGAGAAAAAGTCTTCTGGCATTGGAAAGACTAATGGAGCAGAAGTCCACCAGTGGCTATTAGCCACAAGGTATAGATGGAACACTATGGCTGCAGTCACAAACACTAAATAATCCACGTTCAGTGGACTTTCCAACTGGATTTTGCCAGTTCACACAGTAAAATCCATTTGGTAAGTGCACTGAAAGTGGATAATTTAGTTTGTGTGACCGCAGCCTAAGTCTGGGGCAGTGATGCACTGTATTCTTGGTGCTTGGGGTGCAACAGTGGTAGGGCTCCTGGAGTTCTGGCCCTGCTGGTGGACCTCCTGATGGCACCTGGGATTTGGCCACTGTGTGACACAGAGTGTTGGAGTTGATGGGCCATTGGCCTGATCCAACACGGCTTCTGTTACGTTCTTATGTAATGTTCTTTACTGTGACATAAACATTTGTGAAGTAGAGCCTACTTCATCAAATACATGATGTATTGTTCTAATCTGGCAGAAATTATAATGCCTATTATAAAGTAAGAAGGGGAAAATGCAAGCATCATAAAAAAAGCCATGAAATGCATGCAGTAGAGCAGAATTGTGGCATTCCTTTGCAAACTCAAATATATACCACGGAAGAACAGTGACTGTTCACAACAGCCACAGCTGGTATGAATGGGGTCTCGCATGCATTTGAACCTTGGATAGTGGTGCCAAGCCTACAGTAGCTCTCAAACAGGGGGAATTGGCAGCAATCCTACTCCCACTCAGCAGGCAGAGAGAAGATTGTCCTGCTATGTCACACATATGTGAAGTATAAAGAGTGGAAAACTTGAACACTTATTTCCCCCATATAAAACTGCTGATAGTGTTATAGTTGTCATAGATGCAACGAACATGAAATTGAGCCAACTTCAGAGGACGGCGGAAGACAGGAAGGCCTGGCGGGATCTGGTCCATGGGGTCGCGAAGAGTCGGACTCGACTGTGCGACTGAACAACAACAAAAGTGTTATATACAGATGCATAAGATTTGGCTTCAGTTCCTGTTGTTTAAACTTTCCCCCCCTATTAAATAGTCGTTACTTTATACGCAACCCTTGGAGAAGAGGCAGTAACCTATGGGCTGAATGAATCCGGAGCATCGTATCTAATCACTAGCACAGACCTTTTAGAAGGCAAACTTAAGGTAAGTCCTGACCAGGTGCCTTAATTCTGTACAGTAGATCAGCGTCGCTCAGAGGCAGTGGGATGTGCCAGCGTAGCCCATAGCAGGGCCTCACCTCATGCTTTAAAGAAAACATGGTCTGCTGCTAATTCCAACACAATGCTGAAATTCTTGATGCGAAAGGGAATTGCAGCCGTGCGTATTTTGCCATGGAGTCGCATCTTGTGGTTTTGGAACCCGAGCCGGTGAGGTTGTCCGTGAACTCTCTGTAAAGGTAATTCTGGAAATCCTTGGAAATTGACCAAGCAGACAGCGTCTCACCCATGGGTACCATGTGGATGCCCAGTTAAACAATAAAAGTATTTTTGGCTGCAGCTGTAGCTTAAACATACTTTGTAAGCAATGCAAGATGATTCCGTTTCAGCAGGCATTTGATGGCTAGTATTCAGAGGTAGTTTGGTGTAGTGGTTAAGTGTGCGGGTTTGATTCCCCACTCCTCCACTTGCACCTGCCCGGGGCAAACAGCCACGCTCCCCCCCCCCCTGCAGTTTCCTGCCCGTGTGACCGGAGCCTTTGTAAGGAATACAAGATAATTCCATTTCAGCAGGCATTTGATGGCTAGTATTCAGAGGTAGGGGGGGAGAGGGTGCATTGGATCCAGACTAAATTTTCTGTCAGTGGTACAGACGTTTTCTACCTCCCACTGCAGCCCAGTGATCTCCAGAAAACACTGCTCTTGGGGAGATAGGGGACCCTGAGGAATGACATGGGGGTCCACAGTGGGATGGAGGAATGGGTGGATGCCAATTTAGTCTGGACATTATATTTTAGCATACTGTTACTCTCCAAAGTCTTTATGATGGGAAGGGATATGTCCAAATAAGTGGGTTGTATATTGAGAACCTACAGTCTACGCGGTCCACTCTTAACTATTTCTTGTTCCTCAGAATGTACTGCAAGACATCACTTGCCTCAAACATATCATTTATGTTGACAAGAAGACTATCAATAAGTCAGACTATTCTGAAAGACTGGAGGTCCATAGCATGCAGACAATAGAAGAACTCGGCGCCAGACCTGAGAACAGTAAGTAGACCTATAGAGAGGGTACTGTAACAGTTTCAGTGCATTGGTGTATAAGATAAGCAAGGTTTTATTTTACAAGTTAAACTTTTCTCTTGGTTAGTGGGGCAGTCTGTATTGGCTATTCAACTCCAGGAGACTTTGGAACTAAATCTCTTTGTGACTAAAAGAGCCTTTAGAGGTAAAGGTAAAGGTTTCCCTTGCTCGAAAGCCAGTCGAATCCGACTCTAGGGTTGCGGTGCTCATCTCCGTTTCCAAGCTGAAGAGCCAGCGCTGTCCAAAGACGTTTCCATGGTCATGTGGCCGGCATGACTAGATGCCGAGGCGCACGGAACGCTGTTACCTTCCTACCGAAGCGGTACCTATTTATCTACTTGCAATTTCTTGCTTTCAAACTGCTAGGTTGGCAGGAGCTGGAGCCATAGATGGGAGCTCACTCCTTCATGTGGCACTCGGGTCTCAAACTGCTGAACTACTGACCTTCCAGCCTGCAGTTCAGCGTCTTAACCACTGAGCCACCATAGCTTCGCCTTTAAGAGTCTTAAATCTCTGTGCTGCCTTTGTCAGCTCTAAACCAAAAGGCAGAAGCAAGAAACTGATTCCCACCAAGCGAGAGTGAGAAGTTTGAAATCTCTAATATTTTCCTTGTGCTGAAAGAAGAAGAGCGTATATAAACCAACATTTAATTAAAACTGTTGAAATTGCTCTTCACTTCTCACAAGGGCTAAGGATCTGGAACATAAGTGAGTTAAAGCAGAGCAAACCAGAGGGAACGAATGAGTTAAAATGACATAATGGCCTTCGTACGCTGTACAGAGGTTACAAGAAGACCTGGAACAAATGAAGGGCAAACCCTTCGGTACATTCTGTTATGTCAAGATGTTTCAGAAAAATGAAATCAAAACATCATATATAAACACTCCTTGATCTCAAAGCAAATAAAAAATTGAAAACTTCAGAATCAAGAGGCACCCCAGAAGGATAGTTTGCTATTTCAAAGGCAAACATGACTTTTTAGTAAGAAAACAGTTCAGTCTTGTAGCATATAATAACATTCCATGTCCCGTGAGCAGCCAGGCCACCGTCCAGTTTCAGACTGGATTCTTCATGTTGGTTATGCCCAGGGGTATTTCCTAGAAAAAGAGGTGCAGGGGTGCATTTGCATAACTCATTTGTATATGCCACACCCCCTGACAAAGGGCAGGCATGTTTAAAATGAGTTATGCAAATGAGTTTAAATCCCCCCCCCCCAGTCTCCACAAAAGCGGAGAGACTCAGGGGAAAAGGCAGTCATGTCTGGGTTCCCTGCCTGATCTCCAGGTGCCCCGTGGCTGCGGGGCACCTGGAGAAGATCGGGCAGGGAACCGAGGCATTTAAATCCCCCCGAGTGTCTCCGCAAGTGGGGGGCGGGGCCTGGGCTCCTTCCTGCCGGAGCACCTCTCCAGTGCGCTCCAACAGGAAAGGACCCCTGGTTATGCCTCATGCAAGAAGGGGACCCACAAGGCGTTGGGGAGGAGAATCCCCCTCTGTCCCCCCTCCCTGCCCTTGTTTCCTTTCCTTTCTCATTCATCAAAGGGTTGTTTTATATTTTCTCCCCTCCCCATTTAAAAATATCAGATCTTCCCACAAATCTTAGGGATTCACTTGGTTTTGCAGAAACCTCTGTTGTACCCACAGGTGGCCCTGCTTTGTGGATTTTTTTGATCCATACAGCAAGGCTACACATAATATATTTATATTTAAAGATATTGGAAAATGAGCTTCTCACTCCAGATACTTAAAACCATAGAAAAAGTCTTTTCATATCCACTTAAGGCCTCTTGTAAAATTTGGTGACATTTTCTGTCCCTTTACTTCATCAAACAAATCTTACAGCGTATCTGAAAGTATCCAGTTGCTTAAAATATAGATGAAGGATTGAAGGGTTGGAGGGTTACATAAGAAAAAAGCCTTGCTGGATCCAACCAAAGACCCATCTACTCCATCATCCAGTTTCCTACGGTGGCCAAGCACCTTTGGTGCCGGCCCAGACAGTGAGGAGCCTGGGAGTAACACTGGATGCCTCTCTGTCCGTGGAGGCCCAGGTTGCCGCAGTCGCCAGGTCTGCATTCTTCCATCTTAGGCAGATCAGGCTACTGAAGCCCTGTCTTTCCCCCCAAGACCTCGCTACAGTGAGCCATGCAATGGTCACCTCCAGGCTTGATTACTGCAATTCACTCTACGCAGGCTTGCCCCTGAGACTGATTAGGAAATTACAGCTGGTACAAAATGCTGACGCCAGCGCCTGTGCGGGCTCACGTTCGGCATGTGCTTTGCCACCTGCACTGGTTGCCAGTTGAGTACCGGATCCACTGCAAGGTGTTGATCATAATCTTCAAAGCCTGATACGGCCTGGGACCAACATACCTAAGGGACCGCCTCTTCCCGTAGACGCCTCAAAGAGCTTCACGCTCTAGGAATCAACATCTCCTGGTGGTCCCTGGCCCAAAAGACGTCCGTCTAGCCTCGACCAGGGCCAGGGCCTTCTCTGCCCTGGCCCCCACCTGGTGGAACACGCTCCCCATTGAGATCAGGGCCCTGCGGGATCTCACTCAGTTCCGCAGGGCCTGCAAGATGGAGCTCTTCCGCCAGGCTTTTGGCTGAGGCAGATGGCGTCCACACATGCCCCCCCTCCCCCGAGGTTGCCGTCTCCCACCCAACTGCTGGCCATATCCATCTGCCAGGAACCGGCCATAACAATCAGTATGAATGGGTCAGAATTTGCATCAGCAGCTATAACTACTGATTTTAAATGTTTATAATGTAATGTTTTATTGTCTTTTAAACCTTATTGTATTATTTGAGATGTTGTGACCTGCCCTGAGCCCACTCACGGGATGGGCAGGATACAAATACGAAAAATAAATAAATAAATAAAATATGTTTCTGCTCACTTTCCAAGCCCTATGTGGCCAGGGACTTGCATATCTCAGGGACTGTCTCTCCCCATACGGGCCCCGTAGAGCCTTGTCCCTGGCCCCACCTTCTGGTTTCAGCCCTGGCCCCAGCCTGGCGGAACAAGCTACCCAGTGAGATGGGGGCCCCCCTGTAAGACAGAGCTCTTCCGCCAGGCTTTTCGTTGAGGTGGCAGAGGCGTCCACATTCTTCCATCTCTCGGCCTCCCCTACCGGCAGCCCAGGCCTTGTGTCCAGTGGCCAACATCATCGGCACCACTCAGAAGAAGTACATCATAGTGTGGTTACCAAGGCTGGTTTTATTAGTGTTGTTATTAGTGTTGTTATTAGTGTTGTTACCTTATGCTGGTGTTATTATTGTTTTTCTTGACTTTTAAATTTCTAACTTCATAATTCATGATATTTTACTTATTTATTGTCACGTCCTATGTGACCTGTAGGAGCTGCGGTGGCTCAAGTGGTTAAGACACTGAACTGCAGGCTGTGGAAGGTCGGTAGTTCAGCAGTTTGAGACCCGAGTGTGCCACATGAAGGAGTGAGCTCCCGTCCCCAGTTCCAGCTCCTGCCAACCTAGCAGTTCCAAAGCAAGAAATTGCAAGTAGATAAATAGGAACCACTTCGGTGGGAAGGTAACAGCGTTCCGTGCGCCTTGGTGTTTAGTCATGCCGGCCACATGACCATGGAAACGTCTTCGGACAGCGCTGGCTCTTCAGCTTTGAAACGGAGATGAGCATCGCAACCTTAGAGTCAGATTCGACTGGCTTTCGAGCAAGGGAACCTTTACCGTTACCTTTTTATGTGATCTGTAACCCACCCTGAGCTCGCTTGCGGGGAGTGCAGGATATAAATTGAAAATAATAGCAATAGGAATAATAATAGTAATAATAATAATAATGCTTCCAAGGAGTCCACATTTAGTTAATAGCTGCCCCCCACCCCCACCCCACGCTGTCCCTCTCCAGCTGGTATTAGCGGCGAACCGCCTGTAAACTGGGAGCTTCCGTTTAGCCATCCTGGCTAGTATCTGTTGGTTGATCCTCCGTGAATCATCTTTAGAGGCCATTTAAGCTGGCAGCCAGTTCATTTTTGTTCAGGCTTGGCTTGCTCCCAAATATGCCTACCAAGCATAAGCCCCTCCTCCTGACCTCACAGTCTCATCCGTGCACTGAGGCCCCCCCTCAGTGGTTCCTGTGTCACTGTCTCGTTCCTGTGCCTGCTGCCCCTGGAGGTCCCAGACTTCAGTGTCCCACCAGCAGCCTACATGTTTTCCAGGTCTTAAAAGAAAGTCAAACTTGCAATTGCTGGACTCCTAACAAACATATTCAGGATACAAGTTAGTCAAAATGTCCCATAAAGAGCGCCGTGCGGTCACGTGGTGAAGCCCCGCCCCTTCTTTACCCCGCCCTCTGCTTCGATCCTCATTCCGTTTGGGAATGAGGATGAAGCAGGAGGGTAAGTAGCCGGGCCTTCTGACACACTTCCGGTGATGTCAGGGGGTGTGGCCTTCTGTCACTTCCGGTGATGTCAGGGGGCGTGGCATATGCAAATAAGTTATGCTAATGAGTTATGCTAATGAGCTCCGGCAGCTCTTTTTCTACAACAAGACCCCTGCTAAACCCTCTTTATGCAAGAGAATGAAGGGGTTTTTTTGTGGAAGAGAAGATTTTGCAAGTTCCATGGTTGACTTATTGCCCTGACAAGTCTGATTTTTATTTGTATATTAAAATGCAAATTTTATCTGCAGTTGTGTTCTAAAAAAAAAAAAATGTAGCAAATCAAGGGAAACACACAAGTTACCAGGGCCACTGAAAAAGCCAAAAAGTCTTGTGACTGTGTAATTTGATTATCAGCTATAGATTTCCACAACAGCTGTGTTTGGCTTTATACCCATCTCCATGGTCCAAAGTACTATCACTGCCTACCCAAACCAAACATATGCTAGATTGAGATTACTGTATGAAGGCAATCCATCCATCCTTGTTGATTTGCCCACTTCTTCTGATGGGTAGGTTGAATGAGAAGATCCAGAGAAGCCCACTGAGAGAGGATGCTGGCAAACCCCTTTTTTCGCCATTCTCCCACACCTTCTCTTTCTTATATCGAAGAATTTGTACCTTGAATGTAAATCGGATCACGTCTGTTTTTCATCCCAGTCAATCTGGGCTTGTCATGCCACAAAAGAATGATGTTTTACTTTATTCACTTTGTTACCAGAAGAGTTAGAGCAGGGTGGTCCCCACAGTGCCTGCTGATAACTTTCCTGGCGCTTGCCAAGTCTTTTAGAAAGTGGGAGGGGCTAAGTGGGGCTTTTGCCCAGCAGGCCTTCTGATTGGCTATTGGAGATTTGATGGGCTGTGCAGATGTTTAAGAAGGTTGCTTTGGCAGCAGCTGCCACCACAGCACAGGGATCCTTCACCGAGTGGCTGAAGGTAAGCTGCGGCAGCCATTTTGTGGCTCGTTCCGCCTCCTGTGGCAGCTCTTTTGTGGCAGCCATTTTGTGGCTGCACCCACATTCATCTCAAGACCTCAGATCATTGGAGCTGGTTGTTAATAAAGGAAAGGAAGGGCTGCACCCACAACACCGTATCAAAATTCCAAAGGTGCTCACAGGCTCAAAAAGGCTGGGGACCCCTGATATAGAGAATGTCATCGCTCACACTGCTTATTAAAGGGCAGCTTATTTTATTTCGTTTCAAGCGAGGCTGATCTGTTACACTGCCTGCCCTTCTTTTTCTAGTAAGCATCCCTCCCAGCCGGCCTCTTCCTACAGATCTGGCCCTAGTAATGTACACCAGCGGGTCCACCGGGAGGCCCAAAGGCGTGATGATGATGCATAAAAACCTGATAGCCGGAATGACGGGACAGTGTGAACGAATACCTGGACTCGGGTAAGGCGTTTCTGCTTGTCCTAAAAATCTTGCTTTTCTGTGACATTTTTGCATGCTTTAACATAGTTCACCCGCAGTATGAATACATTTGGGAGATCCTCAAACATTCCTTCCCTCCTCCCCTGCCACACAGTGATCTAATTAAAGATCTCTGCTTTTGTCATAGCACAAAGTAAGAGTTGCTGTTATGTCTAGAGCACGACTAGGGCTGCAGTCCTGCTCCCTGCCCACGCAGTCACGCTTTCTGCCTCTGTTGTTGGCCGCAAACAAAGTCTTTCTTTGCTCTGTTCTGCCTGTCTCTTGAGGAGGGAGAGAAGACGGGAAGCAGACCTGGGCTGGAGAGAAGGAGGCGGGCTGAGCACCAAGCAATCCCCATAGGCCGTCCCGCCTGGCAATCCCTGGCCCCTCCTTCTCAAGCCGCTCTCATGGAGGACGGCACCTGCTGTCTGCTGAAGCTGGAGAAGGAGGGGCCAGCCAGCACCTGTCTGTCCTCAGCTGCCCGTCAGCTCCCTTCTCACCACCCCTTGTGGCTTAGTTACATGCCCACATACCCTGCCCTCTACAGATGTGCAGGGGGCATTATGCTGTGTGGCTGTATGAGGCATATATTCAGCTATTGGAGGGGCAGGCCATGTCAGTATGTCCTATAAAAATAGGGAGTCATCATGGAAATGTCACTTATGAATTTTGCACAGTTTGAATACTTTATTTTCCTCTTAGTCGATTAGGGCCCTATAACACGGGACAGGTTTTTTCGGTACAGCTTCCCAATTGTAGCGAGAGCAGCTCTGGCGCTACAGAGTCAATGCTTCTGCTTCAGTCTTTTCCTGTGCTTGACAAAATGGGGAGAAACATAATTAATACCACTTAACCATTTACAAAACGCACACTCTAAAACGGTCTTTCAAAATGCACAAGCTGGTTATGCAAGCTGGGAACACTGTGATGGTTTTTCAGGGTGTCTCATACAAGTTCCACAAAAACTGCGTAAGATGTGCTGTAGGAAGGCCGAGCGAGGGCAGTATTTGTGCTGATGTACTGGTGGAGCTGCGGTGGCTCAAGTGGTTAAGACGCTGAACTGCAGGCTGTGGAAGGTCAGTAGTTCAGCAGTTCGAGACCCGAGTGTGCCGCATGACGGAGTGAGCTCCCGTCTCTAGTTCCAGCTCCTGCCAACCTAGCAGTTTGAAAGCAAGAAATTGCAAGTAGATAAATAGGGACCACTTAGGTGGGAAGGTAACAGTGTTCCGTGCGCCTTGGTGTTTAGTCATGCCGGCCACATGACCACAGAAATGTCTTCGGACAGCGCTGGCTCTTCAGCTTGGAAACAGAGATGAGCTCCGCATCCCTAGAGTCGGATTCGACTGGCTTTCGAGCAAGGGAACCTTTACCTTTAGTGGTGGTTGCTACTTTGCCAGCCCTTGGAGATTAGAACACATCCCAGGACTGTCATGATTTCACCAGTTCAAAAGGGGGAAAGTTTCTGTCTTTGACAATATAGTGAATTGTTGGGAGAGTGAGGAGAGAAACAGAACCAAGTTTGAAATAGAAATTTACCAAATTTCCCACCAGTTAGATCTGGGGTGTCAAACATGCGGCCCGGAGGCCGGATAAGCCCCCCGGAGTGCTTCTGTCAGGCCCACAGTGGAACTGGCCGTCTTCTGCTTCTTCTCCCAGTTCTGCTGCTGCTGCATCATCGTAAGTTTGTAGTTTACAGATACTCACCTGAACAGCATACTCAAGATTGCAACATCACAGACGTTTTGGTGCAATAATTCAGAGCAAGAGGTGTCCGTTATCAGACACTGTTAAATAAGCAAAATATTGCAAGAGTGCTAATGTTTTTAAGTAAAAAAAATAAGCCCTTAGTGTTTGTGTCCTTTATAAAGTTTATATCTCCACTGCCTGGCATTACATTTTATGACACACATGGCCCGGCCCAACAAGGTCTCATTTATGTCAGATCCGGCCCTCATAACAAATGAGTTCGACACCTCTGAGCTAGAGGGAATGTTTTGCGTTGAAACAGTTGTCTATAAGGAGTCTAGTGATTTGAAATCGTGAGAACAACACTGTCCACTACTGCAGTTATTTTAAGGCTATGATCTGAAGCAATACTAGCCTGGCTGCATTTTGCATGGGGAAGGGGCCATGGGCCAGTGGTAGAGTATCTGCCCGGCATGCAGAAGGTCCCAGGTTCAATCCCCGGCATCTCCAGTTAAAAGGGCCAGGTAGCAGATGATGTGAAAGACCTCTGTCTGAGACTGGGGAGAACCGCTGCCTGTCTGAGTGGACAACACTGACCTTGATGGGCTGATTCAGTATAAGGCAGCTTCATGTGTTTATTTGTATACAACATGGGTCAAAGCAGGCCTTCACTGTTTTCGAAGCCCTTGTCCACACACAGGCATCAGCATATCCTCATTGCTCTACTGAAGCACACTAACATAAGAGAAGCCAATGTTGGATCAGGCCAATGGCCCATCCAGTCCAACACTCTGTCACACAGTGGCCAAAAATACCAGGGGCCATCAGGAGGTCCAGCAGTGGGGCCAGGACACTAGAAGCCCTCCCACTGTTGATCCCTTCCCCCAGGCACCAAGAATACAGAGCATCCCTTGCCCCAGACTGAGAGTTCCTATCGGTACCTTGTGGCTAATAGCCACTGATGGACCTCTGCTCCATATGCTTATCTAATTCCCTCTTGAGGCTGTCCATGGTTGTAGCCACCGCCACCTGCTGTGGCAATGAATTCCATCTGTTAATCAGTCTTTGGGAGAAGAAGTTCTGTTCTTTATCTGCTTAGCACTGCTCAGTACTTTATCTGCTCAGCGATTTCATTGAGTGCCCACGGGTTTTTGTATTGTGAGACTGTGCTTTCTCCTTAGACCCAAGGACACCTACATTGGCTACCTGCCTCTAGCTCACGTCTTAGAAATGACAGCGGAAATTTCCTGTATTACTTACGGCTGCAGGGTCGGATACTCCTCTCCACTCACGCTCTCAGACCAGGTGAGAGAATAAAGTTGAGCTGCCTCATTGCTTTTTGACCAAGGAGGGAAGGCTTTATATTCTTTGCAGTTATCACCAAAGGCAGCTTGTTAAGGTGTTAATGGTCTCAGGCTGACCGTACAGAATGTGCTGATCTGTACAGCAGAGTATAATCAAGATAACATCTAAGAACGCATTCTTGAAGCTGTCTCTGTGGGGCTGACTGGAGGACTAGCTAAACAATATGTGTTTCTTCTTGGGGGGGCATTGTTGCCAAAACATCAAAGTGTATTGTGGCACATTAAAGAATTTGGTTTATGTTTGTTTGTGAGACTTTGTGTTTTCCCTTGCAGCTCAAGGCAAATTAGCATTCAAAACTAAAACAATGTGCAATACAGTAAAAACCTCTTCCCCAAAGAAAATACTCGCAGGCTATATCTCTAGGTTTGCTTTAGCAAATAAAACATCTATACAACCTCCTGAAAATGGTGTCTCCCTCCCCTCTCAGGGAGCCCATTCTACAAGGTGAGAGCCACTATAGAAATAGGGGGCAGGGGAACAACCGGAAGATGGCAACCGGAGGACTCTCGTTGATGCACAAGGACACAGGGGAAGAAACAGTCTTTCAGACAGGCTGGGAAGGGCTTTGAAGTTTATGTGGCACCATGAATAGAACTTGGAAGCCAGCTAGCAATCATTGTAGCGACTTTAAAATGGATGAGATGCATTTCCTTCAACTAAAAAGAAGAAGAAGAGATTGGATTTATCCCCCGCCCTTCACTACCCAAAGGTGTCTCAGAGCGGCTTACAAACTCCGTTCCCTTCCCCTCCCCACAACAGACACCCTGTGAGGTAGGTGGGGCTGAGAGAGCTCTTGACAGAAACTGCTCTTTTTCAAGAGCAGCTGTGCCAGAACTATGGCTTGCCCAAGGTCGTCCAGTGGCTGCAAGTGGAGGAGTGGGGAATCAAACCTGGTTCTCCCCGGTTAGAGTCCACGCACTTAACCACGCACCAAACTAACCCCTGACCATTAGGCTGCCACAGTCTGAACCAGTCGTGGTTTTTAATCAAACCCGGTTCTCCCAGGTTAGAGTCCGCGTACTTCAGCACTGCGCCAAACCAACCCCTGACCATTAGGCTCCCACAGTCTGAACCAGTCGTAGTTTTTGGGATTTCACGTTAGGACAGTTTCATGTAGAGTGCGTGAAGAGTAGTCCAGCTATGATGTTATAAAATCCTCTATGATTCCCGAAGGGCTTAACAAGATGCCAACTAACATCTTCTGGTGGTCCCCAGCCCCGGGGACGTCCACCTCGCCTTGACTAGGGCCAGGGCCTTTTCAGCCTTGGCCCCTACCTGGCGGAAGGCGGTCCCCTGTGAGACCAGGGCCCTGAGGGACCTTTGACAGTTCTGCAGGGCCTGCAAGACGGAGCTCTTCCTCCAGGCTTTTAGTTAGGGCGGCGGACATCCCCCCACTCTACTGGGCCTTCCCTCCGTGGGTCAGACCTGCATGACCATCCAAGGACCAAAATCTGAAATAGATAGCATCTGTGAGGCTTTAACTATGACTTGTACCAGAGGAGTGTTGTTGTGTTTTATTGCCATTTTAATTGTTTTAATTATTTGTGTGTTGTATATTGTTTATTATGTCTGATGGAACCCGCCCTGAGCCTGCTATGCAGGGAGGGTGGGATATAAATCCAATAAAACAAATAAATAAATGAACCATGGTTGTGTGGCAAGGTCAACTGGATCTAAAAGGAGAGAACTGGCAAACCAAGCCCAGTTGATAGAAGGTGCTCATGGCCATCACATCAGCCTGCTTTTCCAAACAGCCAGGGTGGGTTCCCTAAGTTCTTAAACCGCTTTGCCAATGCCAAATCCACTCCTCCGAAAGCATCTGCCTTCCTAACCAGCATTACCTCTGTCTTGTCTGGATTTAGCTTCAGTTTGTTCTGCCTTTGCCTCTGGGGCATGGCTGAAAACCCTTGGTTCAGAACCGAGATGGAAGCATCCCGGAAGCTCAGATAGTGTGATTTCAGTTGGGGTGTCATTTGCATCATCAATGACCTCTAACTGCATTTGTGTCATCAATGACCTCTAACTGCAGAAGCTCGGGGTTTATTTCATTCAGTGGCTGCATGTCAGTACTGAAAAGCGTGGGTGACTTGGGAGGCCCAACACAATCCAGCCCACTGATTCTACTCCTCAGGTGAAAACTCTTTGTCTGATCCGACAGAAGAGACTGAAACCACAGAAGAGCCACTCTCCTAACCACAGCTACATAGTCCAACCAGTCAATAAGGATGTGTCAGGTTCCACAGCCAAACAAAGGAGTACACGCTTATCATAAGGTTATACTTTATAGCTCTTACAATAAAGTATAACCTTATGAGGCAGTAACATCGTCACTGTTAGGAATGGCTATGTTCCTACAAGCATAATGGGATATAGGGTATTCGTGTGCACCCCCCCCCCCCCAAACCCCTAGGCCAGCGGGCCTGACTCCCACCAGGGGGAGAATAAAGCCAAAGCTGGGAATCGAAACTGATCCCACGGGTAATCCATGGGAAGACACTACACAGACAGCCTACAAGGTCAGAGATAATAAAAAACAATGGAATGCCGCAGCAGTTGGTACACAGGTTAAGCAGATGCACTCCTGCCCATAAATATCATGGCAGCATCGCTGACAGGATGGAATGGTCAACTGTATCAAAGGCTATTGATAAATCCAACGATAACAACAGGGATGACTGTCTGTCCAACTTTAAGAGTAGACTCTCCACCAGCGCAACCAAAGCCATCTTGGTTCCAAACCCAGGCCACAAACCAGACTGAAATGGGTCAGACTGAGCTGTAAGGACAAAGAAGAAAAAAGGGGGGGGGGGGAAACTGAACCTAAACCTAGAATTCAGAACCTAAAAAGGTTAGTCATGAATAGAAAGGGGCCAACTCTAAAAATCTAATTATAAAATATACAAAAATATATATGTGTGTTTATTCAACATAAATTAAAATAACAAACAAGGGCCCATTCATACCTCATATAAAACTATAAAAACATACAAGGGCTAATAAGATAGACCTAACGCGTTTCGGCCTTTACAGACCTTCCTCAGAGGTCTAATACATACAGAACATATTGGCTGATGTGCAAAAATACATACAATCCTACATATACAAAATATGGAATAAAGACCAGAGATCAATTGTTCCAAAGTTTAACCCCTGGGCAAGGAAAAGAAATACAAAAATACAAATGAAGCCTCCAGTGAAATCACATGTCCAGTGGTACTTCTCTCTGGTCAACTGTATATTCATCTGAGGTTGTACAGCCAAATGTTCCAAATAAAATGTTCCTTAGGTTATTAGCCCTTGTATGTGTCATACAAGGAACCCCTGGAGCCGCTCCGCCACAGCACGCTCTACCACCCTCCCCCCATATGGCAAATTGGAGACTGGCCTATAATTGGCTGCGTCATCCTTAGCCTGAGCTGTGTCATACTGCGCTGTGTTATCAAGGCAGACTGAGCTGTGTCATACAGGAACCCCTGGAGCCGCTCCGCCACAGCACGCTCTACCACCCTCCCCCCATATGGCAAATTGGAGACTGGCCTATAATTGGCTGCGTCATCCTTAGCCTCTTAAAAAACTTTAAGCGAAGTTCTCATAACTGTTTCTTTCAAAGGACTAGAGAAAAAGCCCTCATTCGACAAAGTGTTCACAACTTTCACCAAAGGCTCCAATACGTTTTCCTGGAATGATCTTAAAAGCCAGGCACAGATCAAGAGCACGTGCTCAAGTACATCTGATCCTTGATGCTAGTTCTGCAGCCACTTATTGGACCTTTAACAGTAGACAAGAGCAAGAATCCAGTAGCACCTTAAAGACTAACCGTGACTCACGAAAGCTCCTACCTGCCACAAATTTTGTTAGCCTTTAAGGTTCTTCTGGACTCTGTCTCTTTTCTACTATTACAAGCATAATACGGCTACCCACATTGACCTTACTGGACCTTGTTATCTATCTTTCTCAGTAACGTTGCACTGAGATCCGAGGACTGCGGATTCATTTTCTGGGCTGCCTTGATAACCTCTTTGACGCGATGGGATGGGATATAACATTTGAAATAAATGGCCTCTAATGAAAATGGTTTGAGAGAAAGGGATTTGTACCCCGCCCTTCGCTCGGAGTGGCTTACAAACTCCTTTCCCTTCCCCTCCCCACAACAGGCACCCTGTGAGGGAGGCGGGGCTGAGAGAGCTCCTTCCAGAACTGTCCTTGGGAGAACAGCTCTGACAGAACTATGGCTTGCCCAAGGTCATCCAGCAGCTGCAAGTGGAGAAGCGGGGAATCACACCCGGTTCTCCCTCCGTGCACTTAACCACTACACCAAACTGGTTATCATTGAAGTTTGCTGGGAAACCATTTCGAGGAGACGATATGTGAGGTGGTCTAAATCTCCCCTGCTTCTCTCCATCACTGGTCTGGCAGCTGCCAATTCCCGTCCCTCAGTCTTGTCTCATATTTCTTTTTCTCCCTTCCCTTCTGGCTGCTCAAAGGTTTGTTACGGGCAAGAAAGAAAGAAGGGATCTCATGAAGGAAGGGTCTTGCGTGGTTCACTGGCTGGCCACGTGTCCTGCCTCACGGGGTCAGATTGGGTTTAGGAGCCACCCGTTGGCCACAGGGCACTCTAAGATATTGAAACGTGATACATGTGACTCATGCCCTTTTTTTGTGCTCATACTAACTGGCTTCAGCTCACACGGCTCTCTAACACTCAGGCCTCTTCTCCCCCTTACAGTCGAGCAAAATTAAGAAGGGAAGCAAAGGAGACTGCAGTGTCCTGAAACCCACCCTGATGGCAGCTGTGCCGGTAAGCATGGAGGGAAGAGTGCGCATCTAGTGCGTTGTTTGTCTTTCGTATCATCCACTCCCAACAGCTTCATCCTTAAGGAGAAAAGTGGATTTTCTGTATGGTAAATCTGTGTGTGTGTGAACCTGATGGATATTAAAAGGTGTCGTAAATACAAATGTCCCAAGTGAATGTGCTTGAAGTCTTAAGATCTCAGTAAGTGGGCTGAAAGATAATGGCAAAGGAAGAAGCCCTGAGCTCAGGTGATCCTCCCCGTTCCTTTCTTCATGCAGCCCAAAGTTCATTAGTGGCTTCCAGGTAGACGGTGGAACTATGTTGTCATTAGTCTGAGCCATCAAACTGTTGCTTGCGCTTGCCCTTCAAACCAAAAGGGAAGACCAAACGTTCAGAATCCCAGTTTGCAAAGCTGATGCAAACCCATCACCTGCTGGTTGGAATGGGAAAAAAAACTGGAAGCGACTAATTAGCACAGGGAGCAAATAACACCTTCCCCCGCCCCCAAATGGGAACAGTGTGATGAAACGCATTGCCTTTAGATACTGCAGAGAGAGTCTGTTTAGCGGGAAGAGTTGTGAAGCTACTCTTACCATATTCTATAGAAAACCTTTGCTGTATTAAAAACAGCCATCGAGGGAGTACAGCTCAGTGAGGAGGGAGGAAAGCCCAATATTTCCATTGCGTATTTGCCTGTACAGTGAATTGCCCCCAGCTAAGATTGATCACTGACTGACTAACTGGATTGCACATTAAGTGTTACACAATTAAGGAATAACCAAGCTGTTTAAAATGTATGAGCTGGTGCTCGGGGGGGGGGGAAATCTTTAACTAGTTAAGCCACGCAAATGCAGAGTGGTGATTTCTCTCCCCGCTTCTCTCCCCACCCCCGCCCTTAAATCTTTACAGGAAATCATGGATCGAATTTATAAGAATGTAATGAGTAAAGTTCAAGAGATGAACTATATTCAAAAGACGTTGTTCAAGATAGGTTATGATTACAAATTGGAGCAAATCAAGAGGGGATACGATGCGCCGCTCTGTAACTTGTAAGTACAATTCAGATACCTGACGGCCTGTGTACGTATTACTGAAGAAGTAATTGCAGCATAGGGCTGCCAAGTCCCCCCGGGGGGGTGGATAATCCCCCGCTTTGGAGGCCCGATTTCCGCTACCGCGTGCACGTCAGCCGGATGTGACGTGATGACGTCGGGCACACTGTGCTCGGCGTCATCACGTCACATCCAGCTGACGTGCATGCGGAGCGCTCGGGACGCCATCCGGGAGCCCCCCGCCGCGAGGAGAAACAGACTTGGCAACCCTACTGCAGCACAGGAATAAACACACAGGGAGCAAACCTGAGGGTTGTTAGATGGGATTCAGATGATTAAACTTATTAATGCACCAATTTTGCATTCGTTTTTCCAATGGGCCAAATGTGACCCTGCTACTGTCAATCAATCTGAGTGGTGTTTATGAAGGGATTAATGAAATGAATAGCCTTGGGCTATTACTGTGAGGTTGTGTGCAGGGCCCTCCTCCTCACAGTTACACCCTTCTAACCTCAGCTTTGACCTCAGCCGAGTCAGAAAGCTTAGCAGTCTTCCCTCCTTTAACTGCTGAAGAGTCCATAAAGTTAAGAACCTCGAAGATAAATTAGAAAACACACAAGGGGCCAATAGTTAAAACATAAATATAGAATAAATTAAAAAGACATGTATTCAGGGCTATTTTTGGGCAGGAACACACAGGAACAGAGTTCTGGCTGGCTCCCGAGTTGTCCACGCCCAGCAGGAACTCATTAGCATAATAGGCCACACCCAATAGCAGAAACTCATTAGGATTGGCTACATTAGGGGTGTGTGGCCTAACATGCAAAGGAGTTAAAAAAAGCTCTGGGTTTTGACAACAAACAAGGTAAACAGAATAAGAAGGGAAAGGTGGGAATGGCTGGATGACCACACTTCTGGTAACATGGTGGTGTGGCCTAATGGGCTAATGAGTGGTGCTGTCAGGGTGTGGCCTAATATGCTAATGAGTTCTTGCTGTTGGGTGTGGCCTATTATGCTAATGAGTTCCTGCTGGGCTTTTTCTACAAAAAGAGCCCTGCATGTATTCATTGCAAAGACTTTTAAAAACATACAAGTGCCCAAAGCAAGCCTCATAACATGATAAAAGTGACAAATGCGCAAGAGGAAACACTTATGACCTAACGCGTTTCAGCCCAATAGGGCCTTCCTCAGAAGTCAAACATTAAAAGGTACATATAGGCTTGACCTCTGAGGAAGGCCCTGTTGGGCCGAAATTTGTTAGGTCATAAGTGTTTCCTCTTGTGCCTGTCACTTTTATTATGAGGTTTGATTTGGGCTCTTGTATGTTTTTAGAAGTTTTTGCGATAAATACATGTATTTTAATTATTCTATATCTAAGTTTTAACTATTGCCCCCTTACTTGTTTTCTAACTTGCCTTCGAGGTACTTCATTCCATTTTGTTGGGTTGAGCCCCCCTCCCCTTCTTAGCACTGAGTCTATAACGTTAATCAGAAATGTTTGACTGAAAATGCTCACTGTTGAAGGAACTCCTTTTAATGCTAGAACTCGGTTAAACCACAGGGTGGAAACACGATGTTATGTCACAGAAGGTTTTCTCTCTCACTTAAATGGACTTGACTTAATGTACTGAAATACTCATGTGCACATTTGTATTTGAAGCAGACAGATCTATTTTGGGTTTGAATCATGGCCATAACTCCCATTCTCAGCATAAAACACATGCCTGCTCTTTAGTTTCTGGACACATGGTAGCCAGCCAGCCTTTTAACAGTGGGATGTAATCCAGAGCTAAGTGCAGGTGTCAAAAAGAGGATCCCAGAATGCTTTTCGTGGTAGGGTATTATTGTATTGTATTTTTGTCATACTAATGCCAGTTTCCTTTTCCTCTTAAGATTACTGTTTAAAAAAGTGAAAGCACTGCTGGGAGGGAATGTACGTATGATGCTGTCTGGAGGCGCACCCCTTTCACCTCAAACACAAAGGTTCATGAACATCTGTTTCTGCTGCCCTGTTGGCCAAGGTTACGGATTAACAGAAACCTGTGGCGCAGGAACAATTACAGAAGGTGAGGCGGCTAGGCTGCTACATCTCTGTATCCAAGAGCTCTGGGCGCTTTGCTCTGTTGAATAACCAGCCCTGTCTGCTCTTTTGTCTAATTTCTATAGGCGAAAATAATGATTTTTTTAGTTAGAGAAATGCCTTTGGCTGCTTTCTTACTCTTCTCCTCTGATGTTTTCCCTCTAGTTACTGACTACAGCACTGGCAGAGTTGGAGCTCCTCTTGTCTGCTGTGAGATTAAACTGAGAGACTGGCAAGAAGGTGAGACGATGCTTTATCAATATTTCTAGTACATTTGACTGCAGCTTGTGTCCCCGTGCAGAGATGACTAACGCTGATGTTGTTACGACTCTGGAAAACACATGTCAGTGAACCTGTGCAAAAAAGATATCCCTTGGACTTAAGATTTGCCCTGGGAGAGACTGGGAATGGACTTTGCAAAGAGAGCCAGTTTGGTGTAGTGGTTACGTGTGCGGACTCTAATCTGGGAGAACCGGGTTTGATTCCCCACTCCTCCACTCGCAGCTGCTGATGTGACCTTGGGTCAGTCACAAGCTCTGGCACAGCTGTCCTTGAGAAAGAGCAGTTTGTGTCAGAGTTCTCTCTGCCCCCCCCACCTCACAGGGTGTCTGTTGTGGGGAGGGGAAGGGAAAGGAGTTTGTAAGCCGCTCTGAGACTCCAAGTGAAGGGCGGGGTATAAATCCAATCTCCTCCTCTTCTTCTTCTTTATTTTTATTTATTTTATTTATTTATTGTTAAATTCAGGGCTATTTTTGGGCAGGAACGCACAGGAGTTCCGGCTGGCTCCCGAGTTGGCCACGCCCAGCAGGAACTAATTAGCATCATAGGCCACACCCAACAGCAGACACTCATTAGGATTGGCTACATTAGGGGTGTGTGGCCTAACATGCAAAGGAGTTCCTGCTACAAAAAAAGCCCTGGGTTTTGACAACAAACAAGGTAAACAGAATAAGAAGCAAAAGGTGGGTGTGGCTGGATGAGCACACTTCTGGTGACATGGGGGTGCGGCCTAATATGCGAATGGACTGTGCTGTCAAGGGTGTGGCCTAATATGCTAATGAGTGTCTGCTGTTGGGTGTGGCCTGTTATGCTAATGAGTTCCTGGTGGGCTTTTTCTACAAAAAAAGCCCTGGTTAAATTTATACCCCGCCCTCCCCAGATGGGCTCAGGGCGGCTACCAGATGGGCACATGTGCAAAAATTCCACAGGTAAAAACAGAATAAAACAAACAATAAAATGATCATTCATATAAAATACTAGTGCTCTTGATGTCACAAATAACAGATGGGGTCACATATAACGAAAGTGGTCACACATAACAAATAACTTCAGGTTCGCACACTCCCTCCTGCTGGGGGTGGTGGAGGGAACACTAATTTGGGAAACTCCACCCTCATTTGAACGCAGGATTTCCCCAGATTCTAGGGAGTTAAACCATTTTTAAAGAACTTCAGGCTCCAGAGTTTACCTCTCTAAATGGCGAGAAGACCAGGGGAAGGAGAACAAAAAGCCGAGGGAAGGTTCTGTGGTTATCCGATTGCTGCTGTAGATATATGTATGTAACTTTATTAGTCAGTTTGCATCCTGGACCTGTTTTCTTGGCCGTGTGTTCCGTCAGGCTGCTTCCAAGTCGCCGAGCATAGGTTTCCAGCCTAAGTATCCATTTAACAGGCTGAATGTCATTAACATCGATTAGTCCTGTTACAGATGACATTCTGCTGCCTTAGTAAATGTTGTAGTTAATTCTTGTTAAACTTTTTCTTTAAGGTAGAACACTTGTTTTTTTAAATTCTGCTCCATTTTCTGGTTAGAAAAGCTTTGTTTCATTTCTTAGTGGCTGCCAGAAGGTCGGAGGTATAACTGGCTTCATCAGTTACCAAGCTGGTTGAAGCTGAATCCAGCTAAGGCAGAGGTTCTGTGGCTGGGGGGGGGCGATTCAGGATTGGGGAGTCAACTCCCAGGCCTTGACGGGGTGCCTCTGACACCAGTACCTACCGTCAGGAACCTGGGGGTCATCTTGAACCCTGCTCTGTCTATGGAGGCCCAGATCGCCAACGTTGTACAGCGGGCATTCCTCCAACTGCACCAAGTTAGGCAGCTGGCCCCCGCTACCTGTCTCACCCCGACCTTGCCACAGTAATCCATGCAACGGTCACCTCCAGGCTGGATTGTTGTAACTCACTTTACGTAGGGCTGCCCTTGAGACTGACCCGGAAGCTCCAACTGGTACAAAATGCGGCTGTGCGGGTCCTTACAGGGACCCCATGGAGAGCACATATCCATCCAGTGCTGCATGAGCTACACTGGTTACCAGTGGAGCACTGGATCAGATTCAAGGTTTTGGTGCTTACCTTTAAAGCCCTTAACGGTCAGGGACCTACGTATCTTTGGGACCGCCTCTCCCGATATGTCCCCTGAAGGGCATTGAGATCAACAGACAAGAATCTCCTGGTGAGTCCCGCCCCCAAAGATATCCGGCTGGCCTCAACCAGGGCCAGCGCTTTCTCAGCCTTGGCCCCAGCCTGGTGGAACTCTCTACTGAATGACATCTGTGCCCTGTCTGATCTATTAAAGTTCCGCAGGGCATGCAAGGCAGAGATGTTCCGCCTGGCCTTCGGTTGAGGCCAGCGATGGTTCCCTTACATCTGCCTGGCACCCTCCCCTTCCCCCTATGAAAATCTGAATGTTAGATATGCCATCTTGTTTAAAGTGTTGAAATATGCATGTTGAATGTTTTTATATTGAATTCTGTAGTTTTAATTGGTTTTAAAATTTTATTGGATTTTATGCTGTTGTAAACCGCCCTGAGCCCTGCAAAAGCGGGGAAGGGTGGTTAAGAAATTGAAATAAATAAATAAATTTTTATAATAACCTTTTCCCCAGGAGGCTATACCAATAGAGACAAACCAAACCCCAGAGGTGAGATTATAATTGGTGGACCCAATGTCTCAATGGGCTACTTCAGAAACGAAGAGAAGACAGCAGAAGACTTCATCACTGATGAAAACGGTCAACGATGGTTCTGTACCGGGGACATTGGAGAGTTTCATCCTGACGGCTGCCTGCAAATCATAGGTGGTTACCTCATTTTGATGACTGGGTCCTAGTTTGGTTTAGAACACTAGCAGGAGCAATATGAAACAGTTTTTGTATTTATTTGTTTGCCCTGACCTGGATGGCCCAGGCTAGCCTAATCTCAGAAGCTAAGCTCCTCAGTGGGTGTTAATTGCTAGGAAATGGCTCTGTCCAAGTACCCATCTATGGCCCAGGCTGGCCTGATCTCATCAGATTGCAGAAGCCAAGCAGGGTCAGCCATTCTTATTATTTGAATGGGAGACCACCTTAGCAGTATTTTTCGAGTATCTATTCAGCCAAATTAGATTCTCTAATCTGATTCAGCTACCAGCTGAGCCCAAATAAAAGCCAATACTATTTGGCTTTTATTCGGGCACAGCTTGGAGAAGTCAAGTCGTGAAGCAGCAGAAGGGCCCAGCTCGGAGAAGGCATTTTGAGACCCCTTTAAATGCCTTCTCCAAGTCAGCCCACGCCACTGCCACAGTGGCGGTGGTGCAACTCTGCGAGTGAGCTCGGGCATTTAAAGGGTCTCTTTAGATGCTTGAGATCACTTGCTGAATCACGTGGAAGCGCAGGCCAGTTTGGAGATGGCATTTAAAGAGGTCTGTTTAAATGCCTTCCCCAAGCCAGCACATGATGCCACTGCTGCGGGCAGTGCAACTCGCTGAGTGAGCTCAGGCATTAAAAGAGTCTTCCCTCCCTCCTTTCTGCTGGCCGTGGCTCCCGGAGGTCAGCAGAATGGAAGGGGGCGGAAATCTGAGATCTTCCCTCACTCATGTGCAGCATGGCTTGCAAATGCAAAAGCCATTTAATGAGAACTTTCCCTTTAAATGGTATTTGCAAGCTGTGCTGCACACAAGTGAACCTGGAAGCAGTGCAAGTTCACCTACCGTCTTCTCCATTATCCCTATGGGGATGGTCATATTGTATAATGGAGCCGAATAAATTTGGTGATACTGATTATTTCCTGAATTCAGGAATATTGGGAAATACTGATTTTTTTTAGGTTCAATGTACCTGAACCCGTAAAATACTGATTTTTTTTTTTGTGTGTGTACACACCCCTAGTGGGGATGCTTGGAAGCCTCTTTGGGTGCCATTTGGTACAATTAAAGTGGGCTTTACATTTGTATGCAAATAAATCAAAATAAGTACTCAAAATGCCTGGTATGTTTTGAGCTTTCTCAGCAACACATTTGTGCCCAGTACAAATTAATCCTATGGTGCAAGAAGTGGTGGCTGCTACAAGCAGAGACAGCTTCAAGAGGGGATTTGATAAACATATGGAGCCGTGGTCGATGAGTGGCTATTATCCACAAGGTATAGATGGAACATTCTGGCTGGGACAGCGATGCTCTCTATTCTTGGTGCTTGGGGGGCAACAATGTAGGGGTGGGCTTCTGGACCTCCTGATAGCATCTGGGTTTTGGCCACCGTGTGACGCAGAGTGTCGGACTGGATGGGCCACTGGCCTGATTCAGCACAGCTTCTCTTAAGCTCTCAGAACTGAGCAGAACCTGCAAACTCTCTAAAGCACTGATAATTTTTACCCAATTATTCCCCTCAGATCGCAAAAAAGATTTGGTGAAGCTGCAGGCAGGAGAATACGTATCGCTGGGCAAGGTGGAGGCAGCCCTGAAAAACTGCCCGCTTATTGACAACATCTGTGCTTATGCCAAAAGGTAAGGTTTAAGAAATAGCATGGGACCAATGTTCCCTCTAAGCTGTGGAGTCTTGTGAGCAAAAATTCTACTTTGTGAGCTCCTGACATTAAAGTTGTGAGGGAGCGATCTGGCTGCTGCATTAATTAGTTTGCTCTGGAGCCCTCCTTCCTGAGCGGAGACAAAAATGTGTGAGACGGAGGCTAAAAAACTGAGCTAGCTCACACTAACTCAGCTTAGAGGGAACACTGCATGGGACTGTATTTTCTGGGGACTTGTGGGTTGGAGGTGTCTCCAGAGAAAGATATCAGCTACATCCCTTCTCTTAGTTTGTGTCAAGTTAGAAATGAGAGCTTAGTCCATTTTTTTTGCACATAATTGTACAGACAACGGAGTGATGACCTAGGACTAAAATGATATTCTCTTGCATTCTGTCCTAGTGATCAGTCTTATGTGATCAGCTTTGTGGTTCCCAATCAGAAGAAACTAACCGATCTTGCTGAACAGAAAGGTGTGACCGGAACCTGGGTGGACATCTGTAACAATCCTATCATGGAAGCTGAAATCCTGAAAGAGATTAAGGAGGTGGCTAACAAAAGTAAGCAGTGATGCTTCTCTGCCCCATAAGTAGCTTGATGATGTATGCAGAAGTCTTGGACAAATCCAAAAATGAGCATTGCATTAGGTTGGTTACTCCCTGCATAGTGAATTGATGGTGCGGGCAAGGGGACAGTTCTGCTGCTTCAAGTTCTGCCTTCCACCTTCTCCCCCCTTTAAGGGCAGAGATGCAAGGTAGGGGGATAGCAGTTCAGCTGCCCAGGACTGCCTCCCTCTACATTCTCAAGATTCCAACATCTGGATTGGATTTCAGGTGTACACAGCCAAGCACACAGCTGTCCTGCAACCACGGCGCTGCTGTGCTTCCTTTTGCTTGAATCATGCTGGCGTTGGTGGCTTTGCATGGCACATCCCGCCAGGCTCTCTTTGCTCAGTGCCGAAGCCCTGATGCAGAGGTGAGCAGAACTCTTTGAGCCAAATGTGCAGTGTGTGTGTCAAATAATGCACGTTAGCACTAAGAGTTTCAGCAAAGATGTTTTAGGAAACAGGATGTCACGAAGAGCCAAAGGCTGTGGCACAAATATAAAATTCGGTCCTCATCAGATTTTTTAAAGAACAGTGAGTGAATATATGCTGCGGTATTTAAACACAGGGTCTTGAGGATCTGTGCTGTCCTAAGTACATACTTGCTTGCAGCCAGCAGTGTGCATTCGACTTAACCGAGCTGAATGAATATCCAAAAAATACCCTATCGGTATTTTTCGGTTACAGTGTAAACCGATCAGAGATCTGTATTCAGCTACAGATATAGCTGAGCCTGAAAAAAGCCGATTATATTTGGCTTTTATTCAGGTTCATCTTTCCCCTGCTGCTCTGCCACTTCCACTGGTCAGTTTCACTCCCCATGGCTGATCAGCTGACTGGTGGGGAGTGAAACTGACCAGTGGAAGACGCTGGGGGCTGGGAGAGGGAAGGCAAGGCATCTAAATATACCTTCTTGCTCTCCCTTCCCTCCTGCTGGGTATATCAGACCCGAATGCATTCAGAAATACCGAATATTTCATGAGTCTCAATACTATACTGGTATTTAGGTACTGAGGAAATTTGGTATTTACTGATTTTTTGGGGTCTGATATACCCGTATTGGAAAAATACTGATTTTTTTTTCTTGCAGCTTGGTTGATTCGCTTCCCTGGCCCAAAGAAAGAAATTTGGGGGGCCAGGGAAGCTGACCAACCAGGCTGCAAGTATGTGGTTAGGGCAGATGTCAACCTGGACAGGACCAGCCTCTCCAAAACAAGAAAAGCTGCTGGTTGGCGTTCAGACCGAAAGCAAATCACCATCCATTATATAGTTCTTCAGCCACCTACTGGCAATAATTTGTGGCACATAGGATATTTTAACTTTTGGCAGTAAGTAGTCTAAGTGAAAAACCATGCCTATTTTTCTTTTAATAGCTTTTAATTGTTTGAATGGTTTGTCGATTTAAAAATTTTAAATTATTAATTTGTTTTATTGTGTATAACGCCTGTGGCCCTGTTAGCCACCACCTGTGCCTGCCCTGGCGGGGAGGCTAGGATACAAATCTAATAAATAAATAAATAAATTTACTCCAAGGTTCTAACAAATTGACAGTACCAACACTGCGGTCGGTCTGAAGCAGCAAAACAAAGTTTGGGTCCAGGGGCACCGTTAAGGCCAACAAACTTTAATTCTGGGTATAAGCTTTGGTGTGCATGCACACCTATCTGAAGAAGTGTGGATGCACACAAAAGCTTATACCCAGAATAAAATCTTGTTGGTCTTAAACACGTTAGAAACACGTTTCTAACCTCTTGTTTTCCAGCCTGCAGGCTCAAAAAGGTTGGGGACCCCTGAACTAGAAGTTTAGTAATGGTGGGTAAGGTTCTCTGAAAGATGACTATCCACCAGTGCTGATTTTTTCTCCTGCTGTGTGGTCTTATTTAAAAGCATTAGGTGCATTCTGGAATCACATACCCAGTTTGAATATGAGGGATACCCATCAGATTTGAACTGAATCTGTGCCCTAGAATTTTCCTGGGATCCTCTGCCATGGAAACGCCGCATTCAGGACTTCTTGGCAGTTCTTGCCACGTGAGCCTGTTTGGAAAAGAGTCCCCTGAAGGTGAAAAGCTTGAAAACTGCTGCCCTTGTTTTAACCTGTTTGGTTTGGGGGGGAAAAGCCTTAGCTCTCCATTGCACTGCGTGTCACTGAATGCCAGCCATGGCTATGCGTGCACAAATCAGTTGGCTGTTAATATTTATTTCCTAATTCTCCCCCACCCCTTGTTCCTATAGTGAAGCTGGAGAGATTTGAAATACCAGTCAAAGTGCGGTTAAGCCCAGAACCTTGGACCCCAGAGACCGGCCTGGTGACAGATGCTTTCAAGCTGAAACGGAAAGAGCTGAAGAACCATTACCTCAATGACATCGAACGAATGTACGGAGGTAAATAACCTCCAAACCACCTTGCGTTGGAAGCTGCGCAGGGTTCCTTCGAAGACTGAGTGACGAATGTTAATTCCCCCAGATGTTGGCTGTAATTATACACTGAGAGCTGGCCCTTTGCGAAATTGAGAAAAGCAGCCACCTCCCCCCAATTTCTAAGAAGGAACGGCGCTCGCTTTGTGAACAACTCTTTCCAAGATGCTGTCAAAATGACTGACCCACTGCCACTGTTCCATCTGATCACTGCCAGTCCCGAGATGGCTGTGTTCATATGAAACTCCCTCGCTCTTCTGTTTTGCCTCCTTTTTCGACCCACGCGGAATTAAATCGTCTTCGAGGATTCCATTACGGTGTTCTTTCCAAACTGAGCCTGTATTTAATGTGTGCCCTGTACAAGGAAAAAAGCAAAGAAAGAGTAGACAGAACTAAGCTGGTAGCTCGCACAGAATGCCTCTTCACAATCTGCAAATCTCAGGTCCTTTGCTAGGTAAAGGTAGCTTCTTTGAACGTGGCAGTCACCATGAGGAGCTAAGAGACAGAGAAGGGGAGCTCCTCTACGGAACGAGTGGTTACTTTCACACAGCCCAAACAACTGACTCACCCCTGGTTGGCTGCTTGGATTTTGCCCCATGAATATTCAGCTAAGCAGTTTTTTCAGCTGTGACGTTGCCCATGGAGGTCTGTCCCTTTCCGTGCCGCTGGCCGTAGTTAGGCTGCTAAAGAGGAAATTTCAGCTGTGTGAAAGTACCCAGAGAAGAGACAATGTGTGGTCCTTTTCCCTTGAGTACTGAGGGCCCATTCCAGTTTGCTCCTTTTTACTCTACAACGGAAGAAATGTAGATGCAGCTTTGAAAGCCACACTTTCTCTCCAGTATCCTCAGCCTTTCACTGAGCACAGATCACAACATTCCCTCGACTGAACGGTTCACAAGCTTCTGAATTGGATGGTGAAAAGGGGGCAAAGGAGTGCAGTGCTGAGATCTTCCGCATGCCAGTATTCTGGGGAGCCGTAGTGCCTAAAGGGGAAACCAGCACACTTTAAGAGGAGGCGAACGACTGGCCGTCCACAATGCGTTTTACCCATTCCTTGACCCGCATTTCCAATACTGCCACAAAGGTTCTTTTCCTACTTAAGCCTCAAAAGAATAGTCTTCGAAAGAAGATAGGCTAGGGATGTTTGCCTTCTTCAGCACTGCGCTGGCTTGTAAAGTAAAGATAATGCTGGCATCCACACAGTCTCAAAGACTTTTATTTAAACTTTGGTTATTGCTCTGAAATCAGTGGGACAAAACAACCTTTGACAGGTAAAGATTTGCGTGGCCTGTTCGGCTTTTTAAAAACCTACATCATTATATGCCACAAGTATGAAATTTTGAGATCTTTGTGCCTGCTCCTCCGAATGCACACACACACCAGGAATTAAACTGTATTCAAGTTCCCCCCCCCCAAGCTTTTTTAACTTCGAAAGGGCATTCGCTTTATCTTTTAATACAAAACAAGTTGCAGAAACTGAAAATGTCTTGTGTATGCTGAACTTGGTCTTTGGAAGTAGTTGTTGTTGTTTAAGGAATGTGTTGGAAGGGAAGAACACTGTATTTAAAACTTGTTTTGTCTTTCTCGGTTTGTGACATTTTATTTTAAAAACTGGAAATTCTTGGTGTGCTGCGAGGAGACAGGGTAGGCAAGTGAGTCTTGTATGGTTTGCGCATTTTGTGTGTGGCATTCAACAGAGCATCTTCTTTGTTCGTCCACACTTTGGGCTTGTGTATCCCTGCTAGCAGTCCATACTTGAACCAGAAATACTGTAAGATGTGGCAATTCTTGACGCTGTTCTACTTTGCACTTTCTTTCTTAACCCTTTTATATATGTTGCTTCCATTTTTGTAAAGACGTGGCCCTTGATTGCAATGTGTTCTACGTTGACTTGAATTTAAAGTATTTATGATATAGAATTCTTTTATTCATAATATTTAAATGTGTATATTATGGTCAAAAAGGAAAATAATCCGGTATTGTTACTGAAGAATGAAGGGATTTTTGTATGAAATGTCATTTCTGCACACAGGCAGTTTTAAATGCAAGCCGGGCAAGTTTTTCTTTCTATGAGGTGTATGTGTGGGGTTTGGCCAACAGTAAAACTGCTAAAACCTACGCGCTAGCGGTTCCGACCAGAACTGGCCGTCCCATCCTGAAGGACCAATTTTAGATTTTTGATCTACAAGCGGTATGTTTGATACCTGTCATCTGACTGTAACTTCTCCAGCCAAACCAGCACACTGCCAACTGATCTTGTAGAGACCCAAACTCTCAAACTGAATCTGACTGCTGCTAGAAGGGGCAGGGGAGTCCAGCCTTTTGCAAAAGGGACCAGGAAAATGCCTCTCAGTGGGTCTTTAACCAAACACATACACTTGTTTACATACGTAGGAAATGCTTCCCGTATCGATAGTGGATGGGTGTTCCTTTTTTTTTAAACGACCTCGTCTTTGTGGCCTGTTACATTCATTCTATGATAAAACTGCTCTTCTATTTAGACACAAAATGTGCTATTTGGTTTTCTGTCAAACACAACGAAACAATTGCAATACACCTACTATACGGAGCGAATCGCTGTTGCGTGATTAAATCTGATGGCAGACCTCGTGAACACACGGAGTATGTCTATCAAGCCTGTACAGTCCAGTTTTGCTCTCGTGTTCTGGTGAGTTTCATTGACTCGTGCAGGAGAGATTCCCCCCCCCCCCATTTACAAACTTCTCAACTTGGAGTATAACTTAATGGGTACAAAACATTTAAGAGATTTGGGTTTATTTCTCCACAATGGGCATGGTCATAATAGTTACACTTTCCCAGGATGTTTTGCTTAAGTCTGCAGCCTTCTCAAGCATTATATGTTTAGGCCACTGAGATTCATTCTGGGGGTCAGGAGCCACACGTGGCTCTTTGACATGTCATCTGTGGCTCTTCTGCCATGTTTTGTTCCCCAATGTGGTATCTGCCCTATGTGGATATTGGGATATGTGAACCCAAGATAAAACTTCCTGCCCTTGCCCGAGGGACTGGGCGCGAAAATCCGTTAAAAGAGCTTGCTACAGCACCGATCGATCCAGCGCGTGCGCACTAGATCCCATGGGTGTGAAGCACAGAGACCACGTCGAAGATCTAGTAGTTATATTTTTAAAGCACAATAAAACTTTCCCATATGATTGCATCAAGGCTGTGGAAGCGTAGCAGTTCTATGTATGAGGCTAGGTGAACATAAGCCGCTTAAGGAGGTGGTGGAATGGGGCGCGCACGGGCCACGGCTGAATGCTGACCCCGTAGAACAACTTGCAAGTACAAAAGTTAGCATGGAGAGACATTCTGCCCAGCTATTCCCTTGCAGAACTAGAGTAAAACTCGAAGGGAATTTTTAACACAGGGGGACAGTTATTTTTTTAACACCCAGCTTTAATAAAGAGTTCCCAGAGAACATGAAAGTCTACACACTGTTTTGTGTCGTAACTCCTAACTGACTCCAGATACACAAAAGCTGGTGAAAGTTCAGCAACAGCCGGGAGAGACAACTCTATATGCTCAGACATACTCTGGAAGTGAGAAGGGCTTGTATTATAGAGTGTTTGTGGCTGGGGTGGTGTGCAGGTAGCTCTTTGGGTTGATGGGAGTCGCCAGTGTGGCCGGAGAGACAACTCTATATGCTCAGACATACCCTGTGGAAGTGGGAAGGGCTTGTATTATAGTGTGTTGTTTGTGGCTGGGGTGGTGTGCAGGACATAGGGTAGCTCTTTGGGTTGATGGGAGTTGCCAGTGTGGCTCTTTGCAGTCTGTGGAGTGAGTGGCACTTTTTTAGGCAATGTGATATTAAAACTAGAGCATCCACTCCATGCCTCAGGGCGAATCCCATATTTAGTACGAGAAACGCACCATGGTAACCGTTTGCTGATCTGGATCTCTCTGCATCCCAGAGGATTCTGCCCTCCCCCGCAGGTCGGGGCTGTAGCCTGGGAGGAGATCTGGAAGGGCCAGTTTGGTGTAGTGCACGGACTCTAATCTGGGAGAACCGGGTTTGATTCCTCACTCCTCCGCATGCAGCTGCTGGTGTGTCCTTGGATCAGTCACAAGTTCTTTCAGAGCTGTTCTCTCACGAGCAGTCCTTGGAAGAGCTCTCTCAGCCCCACCTCCCTCACAGGGTGGCTGTTCCGGGGAGGGGAAGGGAAAGGAGATTGTAAGCCGCTCTGAGACTCCTTCGGGCAGTGAAGGGCGGGGTACAAATTCAATCTGTTCTTCTAGGCATGGAGAGGACGGAGGCCACTGACTGGCCAGTGGGTGTGGGTTTGGTCAAGGACCAATGATGTGGGGAGAGCACGGCTAGCAGCTGCCACTCAGGTTATGCAGATGCTGGGCTAGGTGGGAGGAGGCTGGAACAAGGGGGTGGGTCCAACTACTGGGAGGGGCCTGTGGCAGGATGGAGTCAGGGGTGGTCACCAGCCAGAGGCCGAGGGGGAAGGAGACTGTTGAGCATGGGGACTGAAGTCGCTTCCTCCAAGAGCCTGGACTGAGGGTGCTGCTGTGCGGTAATAAAGATGGAGTCCTGAGTCAGAGTGGACACTTTATTTGTCATGTGCACCATATGGGAGGAGGAGGGACCCCTGCCTGGTCTGCCGAGGGCCCTGAACCTGCAAGTGGCACGGGACACGTGCCCCCCCAGCCCCCCCAATCCTCCATAATTTTAAGTCCCTGAAAATAAGTGAGCAGTGACTCAGGAAAGCTCCAGCCCTGCCACGAATCGTGTTAGTCTTTAAGGCGCTCCTGGACTCTTGCTGTCTTCTGCTGCTACAGACAGACTAACACGGCTGCTACCCATCTCGACCTAGTTCCACGGAAGTCAACAGTTTTTCTTTCTGCAGGTCAGCCTAGAAGGGTGAGAGGAGTGGCTGTTCAGACAGGAAATGGGTGCCGCGCCCCCCCCCCCCCCCGGTGCATTAATTTGACTCCTAGGTCAAGCTCTGTAAAATGAAATGTGGAGAAAGCAAATTAGGGAAACAATGCCCCTCTTACTAACTGAACTGAGCGATGAGTGGTCAGCAAACAATAGTGCTCGGGGACTGGCCACTTTGGTGTTGTGCAACAGATTTGTCCACCCTGTGTTGTTTTCATTGTCCGGGAACCCACCACCTACTCCCAAATAATAGGTCTTTATTCATGGTCCGCTAAGACAAGAACGAGCAGTCCTAACTGTGTGTTCACACATCACTCCCTTCATTTAGAAGGGAGAAGAATATGTGTGAAGTGAGCACTCAGGGTAGACCCCCGTAAGTTTGGAGGAGTGGCTGTCCCTTGTGGATTCCTTTGCCATTGGTTCTTAAAGCACAACCGAGTGCTTCTCGGGGTGGGAAACCGGCTCCAAGCAGTTTCAAGAAGTGCAGCTTTCAGTTCGCATATAAGTCATAACCCTCCATTTGCAAGACCCGAGCAAGGCTACTAACGGATTTAAACAAGATGATCCTAAGCTAGCTGCTTCATACGTATGAGAAATGAACATTAACATTTTGGCCAGGAATAAGGTCGTCCTATACTTGAGCAGCTGTGTGGGAAATGTAGGATAACTGAATGTGCCCAGGCTGGGTGCATATGTGGGATGCAAAGCTTCAAAGTACCTTGTTTTTCCCCCCCCAACCAGAGCAAGAAGTGGTATCAAGCAAGCATTAGAGCAACTGACAACTTGAGCTGTCATTCACTTTGCTGGTGTGTCGGTTTGTCCATTCAACTATGGGGAAAAAACATACTTCGAGCCCTCTTTTTATATTAATATCTGTCTTTTTCCTAAGAGTGGTAAAGTTCAGAAGTCATTAATTCCTCACATTTGTATCCTGAGGAACTCAGGTCCTGGTCACACAAGCGAGATAATCCGGGGGGGGGGGGGGGGGACG